TTATTGGGGAATTGGGGAAGGGGTAATAGCTAAGTTGTCCTTCAATCTTAGTTGTGGAGGGCACAGCTAGCTCAGCTCCAAGTCCAGTCGCCATCCGGCAGCCCAGCAGCAGCTTGCAGCTGCTCAGCTCAAGGTGCCGTGTTCAATCTTAGTTGCGGTTGAACGTAGCCCACCATCCCATGTGGGAGTTCAACCGGCAACCTTGTTGTTAGGAGCACGTGCTCTCACCAGCTGAGCCATCCTGCCACCTGTTGGCAGCTCAGTGACAGCTCAGCTTGGGCGCAGCTCACTGGCCCATGTGGGAATTGAGCCAGCGAACCTGTTGCTCAGAGCTCGCGCTCTTAACCAACTGAGCCACTTGGCTGGCCCCAATTTTATTATAACATTATTGTATGTGAAAAAATAAAATCATCCATTTTGGATTAGAAAATGTTTTAGAAAGCATTTTATGAATCAAATCCAGCTTCAGAATATCAGGAGGTTATAGTGTATCTTATTTTGGCAACTATACTTTTACAAAAATGAAACAGATGGAATATGTAGAGTTTTTTTTAGAAAAATGAATTTAGCCTAAGATCTTACTACATTGGAATTTGTCCACAAATCCAAAGGGACTGAGAATTTCTGAAATTAATCTTTGCAGCAAATGAATTAATAAAAATTCCCTATTGAGTTTCCATCGCTGAATATGCTGTTGAAGGAGCCATTGTAAGTACACTTAGTTTGAATAAGACCCATCATCAAATTCAAATAGGAAATCCTAACTCTCTTATGTTTTCGTTATGTGAAATCTTCATCTCATATGGTTTATCATATTTTTGGTACATAACATTATTCTTCCTTCCTTTGCTTTCTCTTATAAAAGAGTAGTGTATAAAATATCCTAATATACAACTGTACCTTATATCATTTAAGTGCTTGCTTTGGAAGCAGGCAACAGAATCCAACTCTGGCTACAACAAATAAGGGGACTTTTGGAAGGGATTATGATAGAGCTCATAGATCAGCAAGCAGGCTGCACAACGCAGCTTCTGGAAAGAGAAGGACCAGGGAAATTCTGGAAAGCCTAGTGGGTTGAACCTTATAGACTTTCTAAGGTGGTTCAGATCCAGCAATGGTTAGCCTCTGTGTTTCTTTCTTTCTTTCTTTCTTTCTTTCTTTCTTTCTTTCTTTCTTTCTTTCTTTCTTTCTTTCTTTCTTTCTTTCTTTCTTTCTTTCTAATTTTAATTTTCCATTAGCCTCTGTATATCTTTATTCCCATTTTTAGGTCCTAACAAAATCTGTCTGGTCCACATTAGTTAGGTGCTTTATGCCGGTGGCTCAATAAATTTTGTCTCAGGAATTAGGAGTAGGAGGCTGGAGGTACTATTTTGAATTGAGCAGCAGCAACTTGTCCTCTACATAAATCATTTTCTGTACCAAAGTGGACTTACTCAAGTACATTTGGTTTAGGAGTCCATCATATATACTACAAACTTTTATTTTTGTACCCAAGAGTTTTATTTCCATTTGAGTTTGAAGCCATGGTTTGGCATTGGCCTGTGTGGGAACACTTTTTTGCACCCTTTTTCATTGATGTTATTATATAAGAATATAAGTTCTCAATGATGATTGCAATCATGCATTCCTTGAATTAATTTTGGTAATGTGACCCCAAGACTCACTGTAACAAGGTGGAAAGATGGCTTTGGAGTTATTCACTGGGACACTTGAAGGCTGACACAGCCTCTTGATATCTGTGAGATGTGGGGCAGCTGGCATCACATGTCTGAATTCTCGTTTCTTCATCAGTAAAATGAACTTGATATTCCGTATTTCGCAAAGGTGTGTTGAGACTTTTTTTGTGATAACATCCATATAAGGCATGGCACCAGGAACATATATTTATCCGAGCCCTTTTTCACGTTTTGATTTGAAATGGTTACAAACAGGATTTCAATTTACTTTGGAATGAAATCATACAATGAGCTGAACTGATGATACGATGGGACAATAGTTAAATAATGTGAGGAACAGTTGGAATTAAGGCCAAGGCTTAGCTGACCTTTTAGTACCTGATGCTCCTGAATTGATCTATTAAAAGTCATGATAGTAATGACTACTCACAAATACTGTAACCTCTCACAAGGCTGTCCATTGTTAAAATGTTGAGAAAGCAGAGGTATGGATAATCTTCAGTTATCTATAGTTTGCCTTGTAATCTATTCTCCATATTTACATTTGAATACATATGCAATTGTTGTCCTGGAAATGAACAGTTTTTCAGACAAACTAATAGGACTTCATGTTAAGGTGTGACTGTCCAGGATCTAATCCTCATCTTTCCTTCTTTTTCCCAATTCATTCTTCCCACACTCTACACTGGGACTAGAGTTGCTTTTAAGAGTATAAACAGGAACTTGTCTTGTGATGGCTGAAGAGCGCAAGCTTTGCGGAGAGACGCTCCCAAGGTTGTGTGTCCTGCTTCCTCCATCTGCTGTGGGTTGGCCATGGCTGATTTACAAAGCTCTCTAACCTGCACTTACCAATATGTAAAATGAAGAAAATAATAGTATCTCTCTAATGAGGGTCTTTTGAAGAGTCAATGGAATGATGCACTTAAAACTTAACAGAATGCCGCAATGCATTTTAGTTCTTATTGTGGTTATAATTATTATCATATATGAGGAAATCCATTAAAATGTTTGTGTCTAAATATATAAAGAATCATGTTTGGATACCATTTAACCTCATTTTTAGATTTCTTGAAAGGATCAGAGCTCTTTTCTAACTTGCTGGATTGTTCCTTCCAAGCACTGGGTGATTATTACAGTGGCTCTATTTGTATTTAAAATGTTTTTATTATGTTCCAAAAGCAATTTAAAGTCTAGTTTATTTTAAAAGTTAAACTAGATAAGGCATAACAACAATTTGGTAGTAATATTGTGGCTCAATCAATGTTCAGTAGGATTTTTTCTTTCTTTTTTTTTTTTTTTTAAAGATTTTATTGGGGAATTGGGGGAGGGGAACAGCGTTGAGGAATCAGGGAAGGGGAACAGAACAGTTGCTGTCCTTTTGTTCTTCAGCCTAGTTGTGGAGGATGTCGCTTCACTGGCCCATGTTGGTATTATCATTGCGCTCTTCCCGGGTGAGGCAGATCGGTTGCCAATCTCTGGACGTGCGATCACGGAGGCTCTTGGCAGCTCACGCCAGCTGCTGGCTGCTCACGCTGGCTGCCGGCCACTCACGGTAGCTTATGGCAGCCCACTGCAGCAGGGGCTGTAGCCTACGCTGTCTCTGGCGACTCAGAGCAGCCCAGCTCCAGGTCGAGCTGTTGTTCACCATCTTAGCTGTAGAGGGCAGTGTCACTGGCCCTCATGTGGGATCCGAACCAGGGCCCTGCTGCTCAGAGCTGGCGTTCCAAGCCAGCTCTTAACCAACGTGCCACTCGGCCGGCCCTCAGTAGGATTTTTTTTTTTACCTGATGTGTTGTTCTTGCTAAAAATTATTTTGAGTAATAATGTTTTTTATGTATATACATAGCGCTATAAGCAATCCTTATGAGGCATTTCTTATTGATGCACTCTAATGTTTGTGAAGTGGTCTTCAATTGTGAAGTAATAATATTTGTTAATAATAATATTAAATGACAAGTAAACACTGTGCTGAGCAAAATATTTGCATCATTTCATTTTATTTACTTTACAAAGTAGTCAGTGTGCTCTCAATTTTACAGATGAGCAAATGGACTTAGAGAGGTGAGTAACTTAACAAGGTCACACATCTAGGGAGTGACAGATGGTCCTTGATTGACTCCCAAGCCCATTTTCAGTGGAAGAGAAAGCATCTTTGGCAAAGACGTTGTGATACAGGTTTGTGTAGGCATTTTCATGCTAATAAAAGTTTTCTGTATTAAAGCTAGACATAATCACCGGTAGATCCACGAACATATTGTCAGGATTTGTAGTCAAAGAGTACAGGCTGGAGGTTTAGGCAGAAAGAAGCTTTAACTCCTCATTTGCCTTAATTCATTATGTCACTGTGTTTTCTTATGTATTTAATGGATAATACTTTTTGATATTTTAGAGAAAGATTTTTCTTTGATATTTTGTATATTTGAAACTGAAAAGCACCCCATGCTTTCCATAAAACAGAACAAAATGAAGAAGCTAGCCATGCACTAATGGATTTGGTTAAAAGGCATTTTATTCTAAGAACTTTGAATTCTGATTTAGTCAAAATTAAAATTAACAGTAGTATCAAATCTATATAACTTGATAGGCTTAAAATTAGTGAGACAAAGAAAAAATACATTTTCCTGAAGAGAGAACATCTGTCTTACTCTTAGTCACTGCTCTCCTTTCTTCTTGTAATTGGCAGAGGAAAAAATGGAGTAGTGATACCATGCCTTATTAATAAAAAATTCAAGTTTTTTAGCTATAGGAAGAATAACGACTTTGGAATGTTTTTACACCACTTTCTATCAATCTGCCCATACATATGTAGTTCCTAAATTTATCAACAGTTTTGTATTGTTATTCAGACGTCTGAATGGCATTTTAAAGTACAGTGGTTATGTATTCTAGGATCTAACATATTGGCATTTCTGGCTTTTTTCTCTTCCAGTGTCTGTATTTATGCTGAAAGTCCAGGTGAATGACATCATCAGTCGCCAGTACCTGAGTCAAGCAGTTGTAGAAGTGTTTGTAAACTACACGAAGACAAATTCCACAGTAACTAAAAACAATGGAGCAGTGTTGATAAGAGTACCCTATAAATTGGGACTCAGCTTAACGATTATTGCTTACAAAGATGGCTATGTGTTGACACCTCTGCCTTGGAAAACTGGAAAAATGCCAAGTAAGCACTTAACTGGTATTTTGTCTTCACTACATGTAAATATATATATATATATATATATATATATATATATATATATATTTAACCTCAGCTTTGGGACTCTCTTACTGTGGTAAGCTGAAAATGAAACTATCTATGTGAAGCCAGTATGAGGTTTCCTTCTACAGAGGCTTGAAGGAACCCAAAAGCTCCGCTCTGGTACAGTTTGTCTGCAGGTGGCAGTGAGGGGCGTGGCATGCCCAATGGATGGAGCGAGATGCAGCATGGGCCAGTAAAGTGGGGCCACGTGATGAAAGGATGTTCTCGAAAGATGAGACAAACAGTTTAGATTTATGTGCTGAATAATAAGGCAGTTATTGTAGATTCTTGAGCAAAATGAGTGTAAGCTGTTTGGAAACTGAATTTATTTAGCGGCGTATGTAATGAATAGGCCAACACAGGGTGAAAATGGATTCATGGAGCCTGGCTACGAAGCTGGGGTTGTGCCCCTAGTGGACAGTAATAATGGAATTTCAACAGAGTTACTGATTGCAAAATTAGCATTGGTACAATAAATATTTATACATGTTTTCGTGTACCAGGAGTAATGACCACTTATGAAAAATAATGAAAAGAGATCCCTCTAACAACAACAACAGAGAATAAGCAGGGAAGCCTGAAAAAAAAAAAGTCAAATAACTGTGTGGGGAAAATAGAACTACCAAATGTTATTGAGAGACCTAAAGAAAATCCAAATAAACTAAAACCCTGGATAACTGGAAAACCATTATATTTCTTCTTAGCCTGAATATTGTAAGGATTTCAGTTCTTCCCAAATTAATTTATAGGTTTACTTCATTTTTTAAAACCTTGGCAAAATAAATTATGAAAGTAAATAGGTCCAAATTAAAAAAAATATTGAAGAATAAATGTATAAAAATACCTGAGAATCTTGTTTTAAAAGATTTACTAGAGGCAATTTGCCATTCCAGATAACTAAAATATTATTTAGCTACTAAAATATTAATGTACTGTGATACAAATCAGATACTAGTATATATTAAAAATCTAATGTATGATAAGGTACCATTATAAATCATTGGAAAAGGGCTGGTTAACTATTTAGAGTAAGTTAATTTGGATCCATATCCCAAAGTATATTGCTCAGAGTTCAAATGTGGAAAATCAAATCATATTAATTATAAGAAAATAATAAATGATCTGATTTTTACTAGGATGATCTGTTTAAACTTAAAATCAATGAAAGATGTCTTTTAAGGTAGATTTGACCGTATATTTAAAAAAACAGCTGTACAACAAAAACAAATTAAAATCAAAAGTGAAAATAGGAAAAATATGAAACAATAAGGGGTGATATCCTTAATATGCAAAGAACTCATACAACTCAGTAAGAAAACACCAAGGCCCTGCCTAAATATGGTAAATGGACAAAATCAGGATCTAGACATTTTCAAAACAGGAAATACTAATGATTAGTAATTGTGACAAAATGTTTTGTCTCCTAATAGCCTAAGATTTGAACACTGTAGAAATACACATTCCTTAGATTTTTCATATTAGAAAAGTTTTTAAAAAGTGAACGTACTGAATATTGACATGGGAGGTATGATCAGAATTGTCAGACACTGTTGGAGGGAGTACAAATCAGCAAAATTACCTGGATAACAATTTTGAAATATGTACGTCAGTGTCTTCAAAATCGTTATGTTCTTTGACCCAGTATTTCACAGTAAGAAATCTATCCTAAAAACAGACATAAAAGTAAAGTTGACAGATATTCGTGCACAAGGATGTTGATTCAAATATTATTTTTGTAATAATAGTGAAAATGGAAACAATCTAAATATACAGTGTTAGTGTAGTGGTTAAGTAAATCTTTGTATTTCAAGGAATGAAATGTGTGACCTTAGAAATGTTAAGAAAATTTCTATCGACAGACAGAAATGCTTATGATACTGTCTTAAGTGAAAAATCAGGGTAAAAATATGCTGTATACAATATCATACTCCCTATTTTTTAAAAAATCACAGGAAAATCCAGGAAGAGCTATATTAAATTATTAATAATGGTTGTCCCAGTGGTGATATTGTGATGACCATCATTTTGTTCTTATCCTTTTCTATATTTCTCAATGTTTTCACAGTGAATAGACATATCTTTTATAATCAGAAACTTTTTTTTTAAAGTGAAGGGAAATCTGAATGCAAGTCTTAGAGAGGTTCAGAAAGATTCAGCTGGTGTAATAGCCAGAAAAAGCTGCCCCTTTTAAGCTCCCTGTGATGACAAAGTATACAAATACGGGATAGTGCCCGAATTAGAATTATCTCCAGGACCAAGGTACTACCTGTCACCTCCTCTTCAATCTAATGAATCCCTTAATTGGTCTAAATGTTAATGTATTCTGAACTGAAATTACACTTTTATTTGGCAGTTACTTCTCTTTTTCTATTGTAGAAGAAAAGTGTATTTTGTTTCATGTCCGCCCATACATCATTGCATAGTTTTTGTATTTTATCCTGTCTTTTCCATTAGAGCTCTTGGAAACATCTCAAATTATTAAAAATATTCCTATGCAATGTGCTTTATACTCTCTTAAGTGATTTGGGAATATTATGTTATTAAGTTTAAATACTTCTGTAGCACACAGGAGTGATATCAAATAACTCGTGCTTTGGGTGGCTCCTCAAAATTTATTTTTCTTTTTCAGGATTGGTATACTTATTTGATTTGTTCTTGCTTGTGAAATGATGGTCAGTTGTACCAGCTTCTTGCTCCTAATCTTGAAATAAGTGTTGTCTTTCTGGTGATCTGCACTCCCTCATCCCACCAGTTATTTCAGGTGCCCGCTCTTGTAGGCTGATTCAGTCCCATCCTGAGTCACTACTAATGGTTGCCTATGAATCATTTTGTGTGTTAAACTGTTTCCTCATTTGCCAACTCAGAGTCTGTTTGGCAAACTGTACTATGTGAAGGAGAGCATTGCACCCTTACATGGGAAGTTAACAAGAGTGGATGTAGAGAACCTTGAATCATGGAGCCAAGAAAAAAAGGTTTTAAAAATTACAAGAAGGAAGGAAGTAACAATTATATGGAGAAAATAGCAGAAGGTTGTTCAAGTATTTCATTTGACCATATATATCTAGGGTTAGTTAGAGAACATTATTAGTCACCTTGGTGCAAACTACCGTATGAAATAGAAAAGATTAGTAAAATACAATCGAGATGCTCAATCTTTTCTTCTCACTTTATTGTGATTCTTCTTTTTTTTTCCTCCGTCATATTTTACATTCATCCTTACTTGCTTTTAAGTTGCTTTTTCCATTACAGTTAGTTTTTTCCCCCACTTTTTAAGGACCTGTTGGAACAGAACTATATTTGTCTGTTTTCCCCCCATGTTTAATAATATATTTTAATTGTGCTATATTTCACAGTATATTCATCAGTTACACTTTCACTGTTTCCGCAAAGCCAAGCAAATATATGGCTATTTGAAGACACTGTTTTAATTACTGGAAAATTAGCTGGTAAGTACAACACTTTTTACTCAGAAAGTAAACACTTAAAAGGTTTATTATGTAACTATACTTCTTCACTAATGAATCAGTGTTGATCATAACGTGGGAAAAAGTTGAAATTGATCAGAGTTGATTAGTACTGTAAGTTGACCTGTACTGATTCTTATTTTGCTATCAAACTATAGTATGTTTTTTGTGTGTAGTGGGAATCATTCTCCCCCTTACTATTTTAGCCCCCCAGATGAGAACATTAGACTTCTGGAAATATTGGAAAGAGCTTCTGAACTTTTCCCAAATCGCATCTCCCACTGGGCTTTACTGGTTGGTGAAAGTGGACAAAGGGCTCAGCCCGTTGGGGCTCTCTAAGTGCGCAGGTCACCTTCATTCCTTCCTCTGGCATTAATCTTGCTGTCTGTGTGGGAAAGGCCCAAGACTGGGTGGGTAAGCATTTGCCCAGCAGACATACTGGCCCTTGCATATCCCAAGGAGAAAGCTATAAGGAGCCTTATTGGGGGTCTGACTCAAGCTGTGTCCTCCAGTTCAGCTTTACCAACTGCGTAGATGATCGTTTCATCCTTACCTCACCTCCTCAGCTCCCGTAACTAGTCCTTAAGAGAAGCCCCAGCATTTTGTGACTTACTGCATATTATGTAAAACTTCTATAAATGACAATAATTTGCTTTTTTGTTTCTTTCTTTTGGATTGGGGAATTAATGTTTAGGACTAAAGCATAATAGGAACAACTGGTAAAGACAGAACATTCTCAAAGTGGAATTTATAAGAGAGTCATGGTAAAAAGAATTGTTTTCGAAAGTCCTCTTCATTTTCAGAAGCTATCTTATTTATTCCTAAAGTATTAAAAAAGGAAACCTAACACTATTATTTATTTGGAAGAAAAATTTGAACTAGGCCTTGATTAATCTTGGACTAATTTACTGAACGAGGCAGTAGAATCTCTTACTCTTGAAATGCTAAGGTATTTGGAGAATTTTGATCCACTGACTTGGCTAGTGCGTGGCAGAATGGATGGATGTGAAGTTGTATGTAGAAGGATGAAAAGTAAACAGGAACTGTATACATGCAGAGAAGCTACATTTTATACAGCTGGGGTGTTTGCGAAATCACATTCTCCACAGTCCCTCTTCAATGTTTTGTTTTGACACATTCCTACTCCTTACTGGCGTCTTCAAACCCTATTACAATTGTAATTTCTGCTTCAATACATGAAGTGGATTGGTGTGAGCATGTCCATGTGCCCCTCCTTTGCCACGATACCAAGCAATGGGGAGCTCTCACTTGTCTGGATAGGATGCCCATGCCTTGGGATGTATCCATGACAACGCTGTGAGCCCTTTTGAATTCTCAAATCAGTTCCTTTTACTGCCCTATTTCCTTGAGAGTTGACCCATTGGTAAAGCCATGCAGGAAAGGATGGATGTTTCCGACATCTCCTCACTTCCTAACTCCCGTAATATGTTTATATTTTTCCCTTCCAAGATTTTATCAGGAATGTGTTCAGGTTGTATAGTGCAAGTTTGTGAATATACTTGTGGTAAAAGGAGCAGAAGTTGGAAACCAGGAATGTACAAAACCTTTGAGAAACTCAGCCAGATACTTCGCTTACTGTATACATGTTTTCAGCTGTATGAAATTTGGAGTTTTGACATAATTAAGCCACATACTCTAAATATGTAAGTTGTAGATAGTATCTGTAAGTTATCAGAAGGTATTGGATTGTGTCCTCAAACAGTGTAACCAAGTAAGAATAATATATTATAATTGTGCTGTTTTTCTTTATATCCCTTAACTATATATTTTCCAGGTATTTTTCTAGTTTCATATATAAAAAGTAAACTGTACACTGATTTTGAGTGTTATCTTACATTATTTTATTAATCATTTATTGTCATGTAACTCTTTAAAAACTGATACTATTTTTATCCTAATAATCTTAATTGATTGCCTCTGTCTTTATCAGTCATCTTTAAAAAAGTCCAAAGCAAAAGCTGATGTCTGATAATTTTTAATGATTTAAGAGTTGACTCTTAAATTGTTAAATAAGATATGTTGATTACAGAAATATCAGTATTGCCACTGAGTTCTTACTCCATAAGTTATATTAGAGGGTAGTCAATTCAAAATTACTAATGTGAAATAATATTTATAAATTTAGTGCCTGGCATTTGGAAGACTAATGCATGTTTAGTTATCTGATAGAGAACCTACCCACTTAAGTATATGACTGAATATCAGCAAAAGCACTTTCTGTTTCAAGTTGTTGAAAACCAAATTATAAATCAACTTAAACCCAAAGGAGGCATTGACTGATTGATTGATTGATTGATTGATTGCTCAAATAATTGGTAAGTGTAGGAGTTGGACCAACTTTAGACATGGCTTGCTCAGGGCTTCCACTGAAATAATTGAGAGCTATTGTAGTTTCTCTCTCTCCATTTCTCAATTCTCCACTCCTTAAATATTGTCTAAGTTTTTAAACCAGCTCATATTTTTGGTCACAAGATGGCTTTTGCAACTCTTAGACATATACCTGATTATATAAAACCCAATGAGGAAAAAGCAAGTGTTTTTTTCGCTAGCAAGCCAAGCAAAACTCACATTGCATCTCATTAACTGTGGTTGTCACAAGGCCCGTCATTGAACAAATCATTGTAACCAAGAGAATAATGAGATGCTTTTGATTGGTTTTAGACCATTCTGGCATGCACCATTAACTCTACAACCTTACAGAAATGAAATCCCAAGTGAACCATGTGGGCTAAAAATAGTCAGTATGTGGTTCCCCAGCGTGGAACTCAAAACAGGGTGAAGAATTCTGGGCAGCAGAATTAAGCAGCCTCTAGGCTAAAGGTACCTTGTGTGACCTGTAAAAAGGGAAATTTCTTATTTATTAATTTCCTAGTTTAAAATCATTATATGAGGAAATGTTAGTAATGTTTAGAAATAATTATAACTGCTTCCTTTAAAGTACAATGTCCTAACTAATGATACTGTGCTTAATATGGATTTCTTTTATCTATTTGTAATGAGGTTTCCTTTTTCCAGATGCCAAATCTCAACCAAGTGTTCAGTTTTCAAAAGCCTTAATTAAACTACCTGACAACCATCACATTAGCAATGTTACAGGCTATCTTACAGTTCTACAGCAGTTTTTGAAAGTGGACAATTTTCTGTATACGTCTGGAATTACTCTTAATAAATCAGGTATTGTCTAATTTTTATATAATATAGTCATGTATAAGAAACAGTACATAAATCTCTCATCAAATACTGTTAAAAGTTATACAGATATTTGACATTCAGTTAAACTTTGGAGGATACATGTCACTATTGAAACATAAATCTAGTTATTAGAATGTTTATAAGCCATTAATTCCCTTTTATCCAATGAAACAAAGATTATGCCAGAGTCTTCTACATACATTATTTCAAATTAATGGAAATTTCATTCACGGGATACTTTTATCCAAAGGAGGTAAAAATTGTATTGAAAGTAGTAATGATTATTGTGTAACTTTGCAAATTATAAAACACATTTAAAAATGGAAATTTGATTGTAAGACGTTTACACATATCTTTTTATAATTTGACCTATTCATGCTTATGAAATTGATCATAAGTGTCAATAATTGTTAAATATAAAAAAGTTAATTGATTGGAATAAGCAATTGTAAATTTTCCTTTTTGTATATATTTGGTATTCTCCATGAATAAAATATTTCTGCTCCAGAGTCAACAGCACTAATACATTTATATACAGTTGTCATGTTCTAAAGGTTAAGAGAATGATGGAATTTTGCATTTTACTTAACAATATACCTATGAATAATCCCCATAAGAACTCAATATTCTCTCCGTACAGCTATACTTGTTCCACCATTTCTACCACTAGGTGCAACATAACTGAAACTCCACTGTTTAATATCACCTCACACAATCTGTAACTTGGATGGTTTCAGTTGTGTCAAATTTTTGGTTCATTTCATTTGAGAAACACCCAGAAATTAGAGCAATAAGGGTATATGGGTGTTTTGGTTAGATATGTTTGTTGTTTTTCTAACCTGATGTATAGCTGATGCTATCAGTGTCCTAGCCAAGATGACCCTAACTCTTCTGTTACAAGCCTGTGTTTCCTCCTGCACACATCTGTGCCTGTCTGAGGGCCTTGCCTGGTCCAGGAAGCAAGCCTGGACCTCACATGGGGCAAGCTCTCAACCAGTGACAGATAAAGAGTACATAAATACTCCAATTTCCTCACCTTGGCTAGGACAACTCTGAGCCAGACTCTGTCCAGTGAGACTGAGCTGGAGTTGCCACAGTGATAACCTGCTCATTAACACATCCTGTGCGGGCTTCCTTTCTTCTTCCTTCTATATTACTCCTCCAATCCCTCAGTGGTGCTTATCTCAGGGTCTGCTTGAAGAAGCCAATCTAAGACACCTGCCAAAATTTTCCAGATGTAAATTACAAGATGCTCAAAACAAAAACATTGACAAGAATGGTGCCAATACACACTGTCACAAATGAAGCTCATGTTGCACTAGAGGCTTTTTATGGGCAAGACTCATTACACATAGTGAGACAGGATCGTAATATGCTCTGCCCTCTAACTTTCTTCTACCACCTGCTTTTGAGAGTAGTCACTAAATGTTTCAATTATCCTGAGAATGCTGACATTTTAAAAGTTGTAGAGCAATGCTGTCAAAAGGGGAAAGTTCTGCTCTGTCCAATATGGTAGCCACTAGTCACATGCGGCTGTTGAGCTGTTGAAACATGACTAGTGACTGAGGAACTACACTGCTAATGTCACTTAAATTTAAATTGTGGCATGCTGCGGGGTGGCTACTATATTGGATTGCACAGTTCTAGGGTTCTGTGCATATGAAAGTATTTTTTTTTTAATAAAAGTTTACTCCTTCTCATTATCTTTTAGTCTTTTTCCCTAGTACCATTCTTCCTTGTTTCTTCTTCTTTGAGTTGGCCTTATCCCAAGTAGTGGGTTGTTGATCTCAGCAGTTTCAGCTGCATTTGTTCTCTGAAGCCACTACCTGCAGATAGCTGGGGGGTAGGGTTAAGAGCAATCACTTCAGAAAGTCAGTCTGCTTTACTAAATAGTTAGATATAAAGATTTTAATTACTCACACATTGCATAATGCTCTATTTGGGCTTACATTGGACTACTTACCCATATACTAGTCTTCAAAATATGTATGGCATTACTTTGCTCATCTCGTGATCTCGTTTCAGGCAGTTTACAGGAGAGCATTCTTATATATTTAAAATTTTCAGTGAGCCAGTGGTTGCCCTGTCTGATAACACCAGATGACTTAGTATAATAGCAATAATGAGAATTCCTGTCCATGGCCTCCAAGGTCCCACCTTTCTGCCCTCCAGCCTGTGGTCTGCTTTCTTCCTCTCACCCTCCTCCTCCCCCGCCCTCCAAGGTCACTTCTGATGTGGGGGCTTTGCATTTGTGCCTTCTGCCTGGAAAACTCTTCTCTGAAGTCTTTGTATGAATGGCACCTTCTCATCTGACCATAACTCAAACATCCCCTCCTCAAAGAAGTGGCTTTCTTGACAACCCAATTACATCGCCTTTCCATATTTTCCTTAAAGCGCTGGTGAGGTACCTTCTGTCATGTATGAGGGGGAAACTGGCAATGAATAAAGAAAGGAAAAAAGGATTTTTGATAGTAATGAGGACTATGGAAAAAAAAACATTGCAGGCATGTAAGAGATCATGTGCTCACTGTATCTTTGGGGACTAGACAAGTGCATGGTGCGAGTCGGGGATGTAAATATTTGTTAAATGAATGAGCTGAACTCTAATTTCAAGCCAAAGATTCAAAAGTTCAGCCACAAAGAGTAAATAATATGTAATAAGTATACTTAATTCAACTATTTCTAACATGTTAAATAAGTTACTTGGAAAACCTACAATTATCAAATTATTTGTAGAAAATTTATAACTTTAACATTATCTATAATTATTTTACATTATTATTTTAACATTATCTACATTATTTTATTCATTGTAAATGTTTTGGTGTATATTATAACTTTGGCATTGCTAATATTTTAAAAAACAAAACAAAGACATTTTCTGCTTTTTTTCCCCCAAGCAATAGAAAAATATAGGTAGCTCCTGATATTTAAAAAGGTAGACTATAATTGTATAATCAAATTTTTAAAACCTTAGTCAAAACAGAATAATGAATTTTTCTATTCATCTCCTTTCTCCTAGTTTTCAAGCTTTGAAGTCTAAATAACATTGTAATACTAATTTTGAAGTTTGTATTAATTCTTTTAAATATAGTGTTATTAAAACAAATATATAGCAAATCTCATTAATTTTATCAGCTAACAATGTTGCATATTGATTTTCTTTGTCAAACTTACATATCAAATATTGCATTTTGAATCAGAGTGCTTTTTACATAAGGTAATTTCAAGGAGTACAGCTGAGTCTATTGGTTATAGTCCTTGAAACAGATGGTCTTGGGAAAAGGAGAGACGACAGGTGTTTTAGATCTATATCTGCATTGATGATGTGGTATGTTAGAACCTTTATTTCAGTATGATACTAGTAAGGTGCTTTTGGTTATTGGTAGATTTTCAAAAACATTGAATTAGAATCCAGTGACTTTAAATCAGATAACTCAGAGAGAATTAGATTTCTAGGCTCATAAACATTTGTCACTGTTACATAAGTAATAGCCTATATTTGTTTTTGATGTATTGTGAAATTATATTTTAAAAGTCTTTAATGAGGACTCAGTATCTATTTGATATTAAAATGGATAGCCCGTGGGTGAAATAGAGAAACTAGTTATTTTAAGCCAATATTAATGTCATTAATAAGTAACTACAACCCGTGTTTTACATAAGATTTTAATAAACTGTCTTGTCTTTTAGGTTTTGAAAGCATTGAATTGACTCCTCTTGCTGCAATATGTGTGAAAATATATTCTGGCGGAAAAGAATTAAAGGTGGATGGCTCTATTCAAGTTTCTCTCCCCCTTCTCCATACAAATGATGTAAGTGCAGGGGATCACATACCTGCCTGGACATTTGATATGAACACAGGTATGTGAGCTAGGTAAAAATACTCTGAATACTTTCCTTTTGAACGTTGGATCTAAAAAATACGTTTCTGTTTTTAATGTTAGATCTTAGAAATATGTTTCTGTATTATTTTGTCCAGCTTTATTGAGGGATAATTGACAAGTAAAATTCCTATATTTTTAATATAGAATAAAGTTAAATATGCCATATTAAAACATCTATTAAAATATTTATATTTGAATGTTGTATTTTTAGTAGAACACTAAATTAATGATGTTAGAATTTTAAGCACTTTGTCAACCACCCAAATTGGACCCACTTTGATTAATGTAATACAACTGTGGAGGGAAATGACACAAATATATTACATCAATTCCCCAATAAAATCTTTTAAAAAACTTGAGCTGAGCTGCTGCCCGGATGGCTCAGTGGATAGAGTGTGCGCTCTTAACAACAGCGAAGTTGCCAGTTCGACTCCCACATGGAAAAAAAAACAAGAAAGAAAGAAATAGCATTATTTACTCATATTCCTATGCTTTTTCTATATTCATTAACATTTTGAGCATATATAATTTTTTTTAATTGTTTCTGCTCTTATAGGTTTTTGTTTTGATAGGTAATATAAACATCTAAAAGTTCAGTTAAAACAATTGAGAAATGTATGCTAATTTCATGAAAATCAATAACACTGTATTATTAAGGAATAGAGTGATTATTTTCCAAAACAATCTTGGGTACCAATTTTGTGCCCCGAGTTTAGCCCCCTAAATGGCTGCTGGAATTACTTTTTTCCTGCTCTCCTTCCCTTGTTTTTGTTTTTGTGTTCCAGAGTAAATAAGGTGAGAGTCTTTAAGTTATCCACCCCCCAAGAAAAAAGGAATGGTCAGTCCACAACTGAAAAGGCTGGAGTAGAGCTGTCTTGACTGAGTCATGCTGCAAAGCCTAGACAGTTTTACAGGACTTGACTTCTTCCCTGTCTCATGTTTCCTGTGTTAACACCTTTCGGGGATAGGATTTCCTTTTAGAATAGCAAGAAGGTTGTAGGTGATCTAATTTTATGCCTTCCCAGCTTGAAATCCAATGAACACAGATTATTTTCCTAGTAGTTATTGCACAAGCCCTTGGATTTACTGCAGTTGTAGAAGGGAGTTTGCATCTCCATCTTAGGACCAAGGGGCCTTTGTGGCAAGTGGCATGCACAGATTTATTTAGGCGTAGGTCATATGTTGAAGGTGGAGATGGAGCCTAAAATGAATGGTGTGGACTGAGAATAGGGAGCAGTCGATCCTCAGAGGAGATTTGAAATGAGATTCCACTGTAACTGGAAAGGTAGACAGCATGAAAAAAAAAAAAGGGACCTTTGAAATGCCCCCTTTGAAGCCCCTCCTAGTATGTAATGACCCTTTCTGATCCCCTCCTTCTAATTTGTGACCACTCTTTCAGACTGCCTCCTTTTTAAAGCTTGACCAACCTCAAGAGAGCCCTAAATCTTTTTTTATATTGTTTTATTTATTTATTTATTTATTTATTTATTTATTTTATTTTATTTTTTTTTAGCTGAGCCATCCTGCTACCTGTTGGCAGCTCAGCAGCTGCTCAGCTCGGGATGGACTCGAACCGCTGTTGCGCAGAGCTCAAACTCTTGAACGAGCTCTTAACCAACTGAGCCACTCGGCCGGCCCCAATATATTGTGAAATAAACATTTTTTAAATTAGTTTCAGCTGTACAACACAGTGCAATAGTTATACTTTTTACCCCTCAAAGTGACAATCCCCCTCCCCCAATCCGCCGCCCCACTCCCCCCTATATCATACATATCTATTACAATTCCCTTGACTCCACTCCCCACACTATACTCCACAACCTGTGACTATATATATATATATATATATTCAATTGTAGTTGACATACAAATATTATACAACATCAGCTTCAGGTGAACAGTGCAATGATCAAGCCTCTACCCCATCCATGAAGTGGTCTTCCTAACAAGACACGTAACCATCTGACACCCTACAAAATATTTACAACATTATTAATTATATTCCCCGAACTGTCTTTCATATTCCTGTGACAATATTGTAGTTACCTATTTATGCTGTCTAATCCCTTCCCCTTCTCCCTCATCCCCACCCCCTCCCAACTAACAGCCATCAGTTTTTCCACTATATCTCTGAGACTATTTGTTTACTTCGTTCCTTCATTCAGTTTTTTTTAGATTCCATATATAAGTGAGATAAGAGAGCCATAATCTTAACTCTTCTATAATCCAATCCTTGCTTTTTCCCCACCTCCCTGTAATCTTCCTCTCAGTCCCTCCTTAATTTCCAATGCATAAAAGAAGCTGCAAAATTGTTATTCTCCGCAGCATTGGAGATCTTGCTCCCTACCATATGTCATCAGTTTGGCTGAAATAAACTCATACAAATTGTCTACAAATTTGGATGTGTCTTGCATCGACATTTCCTTGGCATAGTGTTGCAGGATTCCAAAGAACCCCACCCAGGACCAACCTGCAGACCAAGACAGGTGTTAAAAACAAGCAAGGACCCACTATGCACCATTGGCTCCCCACTTCGCATCTGTTGAACTTGAGGGAGTTTCTCTCGGAATTCTAGGTCTCCTTGCTTTAAATAGCAGACCATGACTTTATTTGAGCTGCTCTTAGAAAATCCTCAGGGTGGATTAAGGATTGAGATAATCCAGGGAAAGGAAAAAAAAATGGGTTTGTAATTTCAGCTTTTTAATTGGATTGTTTACTAAGAGCCTGAACAAAATCTTTGCTGGTTAAATGAGAGACTGAACTCTCTTTAGCTCTGAAAGAAAAAGTATACTCGCTTTCCCAACCCAAATAGCCAGTGGGGCGACAAGTTGTTTCAGATCCCCGAATCCAGAGTGGTGGAGATGGGCGCCCAGAGTGGTCCAGTTGTGGTAACACAGTGGATTCTGGAGAAGCTGACGGGAACCCCAGGGAGATGAGCAGGGCACCCTGGAATGGCTTCACCCCAAGAAAGAGAAGGGCCCACGCCTTGGAGAGCATTGTGGTTCTAGTGGCACCTGGTACGCTTTCACTGTCCCTTGATCAAGTATTCTTAGGTGACTAAGAATTTGGGGATTTGCCTGAAGAAAATTTCCTCTAAGTGTGAAGCAGTCCTATAGGGATCTTCACCACATTTGGCTCATCTGGTGATGTCTGCACATGCACATAAAGGCTGGCTTTCCCTAGAAGTTTGTTCAGCCTCTACATATCTCAAAATTAACATGCGAAATCATGCCTCCCAGGCAGAGAATTCCCACTGTGAGAGTCAGTCTCCCATTAATACTAACATGAGGAGAGAGATGAAGATGCTTCTAAATTAATCTTATGTGCACAATTAGAAAAATCTGGCTATAAAATTAGGCAGAATGAATAAACATATTTAATTGGTCTTCAAAAGTTTCAAAAGGAGGATTTAGATAAATGTAACAACTATGATGTCAATTAGGTGTCAACTGAAATCTCTGAGATATAGCTGTCCTTATTGTAAAACAGGGAAGGTCATTTGCAACTTGACAGATATAAATTGTAAATGCCTCCAAAACAAAATTTGGGTCCAGCTGTTCTGTGTGAGTCTATATTTTTCTACCTCTGGATGGTATTAAAATTTAAAAGCAAGCAGTTGTAAGGATTGGGTACTGTAAAATTCTCAGAAATATAGAAACTAACTCAAAATGCTTTTCAAGCTCACGTGATCTAAGACTAATTCTTAGTAAATAAAACCTAGTTTAAGTTTGTTGGTTTAAGTAGAGCAGACATGTTTTGAGTTATTGATATTAAATATATATTTACCCAGGTTTATAAAAATAAGGCCATGTTAATAATTGACTTTGATGTTTGTGGAATATGTTTCTAAAGGTTATAAAATATCTTCATAAATCTGCCAAGTTAAAGAATGCCAATTGCTTGCTTTTTAGTTTTCATTAGAAATTGAGAAGGAAAAAAGAAAAGAAATGAGGCTGTAAGGTTTAGAATCTCAGTATCTATAGAAGAACTTTGTGGTGTTTCAGAAGGGCCCTTGGAAAATCCCAAAGGATTTGTCTTTTATGATAAGTACCTTGTAAAGGCACATTGTAAAATAAGTGGTGAAAAAACTTCTAGGGTATATTGTATGGGTAAACAATGGTTGTAAATTAAATAGTCGGGACTATGGGTAGCTCAAGGCAGCCACTTGGTTCTTTCCCAGCTCCCTGGCAAACCCCATTTTTTTTTGTTTTTGTTTTTTTCAGTTTTTGCATTCCTTTATACATCATAGTGTATTTAAGCTGGACTTACATACATGAAGGAACTTATGAGCTGACACTATTGAAAGAAGACATCTTACACTATTGCCAAGGTTTGATAAAGTCACTTCAAGAAAATGCCACAGTGCTGCTAACTGCTTTCTTTCACAGTAAGCTCCCAGAAGACAAAGACTTGAAAGATCATTGTCTGCCACATGGAGGTTTTGTTTATTGGAAAGGACATCAAATAAACACTCTCCAATCTTGTTGGAAGAGACCTTATCAGGCATCTAAACCACAAGTGGACATCTAACCTGTCTCTGACAGTCACCTCCACCTACAAGGGACATCAAAGACTCCTCTATGGTGAGGAGCAGTCAGTAAGACAACTCTCCCAACTTGTCAACAAAACCTGCATATCTATGGATTGATGGTTAACTCAGAAACCAATTGTTTGTCTTTACTTCTCTGCTAATATTATTAGCTATAACAGTTGTTCTTTGGGTTTTTCTATGTAGTCCAACTTTTATGATTATTGAACAGATATAAGGTAACTGTTGTCCCATTCTCAATAGCGCACTGTTTCAATAAGACATCAATACTGAGATTTCCTAGGGATGAGCCTTCTAGCACTATGAGACCATACTATCAGACCAAAGGTTTAATTATCAATGAATCCATCAGATTGATTTGTGACCAAAAAGGGGGAATTGTGGATGAAAAAGGGTGCTGTAATAAATCATAGATTTCTAATCGAGCA